TTTTGTGGTTGTTACATGCTTGTTTTAATTAAATTTTTTTATCTATCAACTGGTGTTAATCATGACTGCTGTGGAAGTGCATTCAATCCTCTTCAGGATTAGTATTTGTGTTGCGGACACATGCAACTTATTGATTACCCATGGCGTTAACTTATGCTGGATCTCTGTCAGCGTGTGATGTAATAAACTACAGCTCGTTAATAAACAAAGTTTTTTATTTGAAAATTTTCATATAATCCATCTTCATTTATCAAGTGCACCTGCACGAAAACATTCTTCAAGTTCAAAATTTTTTGTTCCATTCAGCTGTAGATGCTGCTGATAAAGCAGCTTATTCACCGAGACTGCTGCAGCACCGTGCGTGTGAAGAAACGTGCGTGTGTGTGTGTGTGTGTGTGTGTGTCTGTTTGTATTTTCTTTTGAAAAATGTTTCAGAGGAATACTGTTTAGTGCATTCTTTCTCCTTACAAATTATATTATCAGCATAACAATTTGAGTAAATGTAGCTGTGTAAAAGGTAGATGATGATGTTCCCTTCTAGAACAATATTTAAATTGTAACATATTATCAATCATGTTTGATAATATTAGTTTTCTCATTTCTTTATCACAAAACACTAAAACTGGCACCATTTTGGAGAGAAATTGGCTCTTTTTAATCTCTCTTTATGTCATGGTGTGTGATGCTGAAAGGTTTTTGTATTCTTTGCACTGTTCTGAACATTGATGTTTTATGTGCAACAATAGCATGCTCAGGCTCAGTGGCCTTACACCTGATTTTAAATCTCGTTTTTTTTTCTCAGACTCTATGATTTAAATGGTGATGAATGGTGATCATCTTTTCATCTCTGTAATAGTTTTTCCAAGTTTTTGATGTATTTTAAAGAATTGGCAGCCAAAATTAAAACGATTTTCGTTGGATGATAGATATTCTTAAATATTCTTAAACAACAATTATAATTTGAATTACAGTATGTGCAATGTTTTCTAAATGTTTAATTTGCAGTGCACAGCTTTTATTTTAAGGGGATAGAATCTGCAGCTCAGTACTCACTACTCACTACTCACTACTCATGAGTACTTTTAAATAAGCTACTCTTTTACTCTTACTCAAGTAGTTTTTTGGACAAGTACTTTTTACTCTACTCACACTACATTTTTTGGAATGTAATGGTACTTTTACTTGAGTATATTTTTTCAGTATTCTTTCCACCACTGCTTATTTGTAAAAGGCAGGAATAAGACAAATCTATATTTTTATGTATTTTTTCTCTTTATGCAATTATGTTTCATTATTTGGCAGTTCTCATGTTTATTTGATGTTTATGCATTACATTAGTATTCATTATCCCAGCGATTCATCACTGTCAGCAAGCAAATTAGGCACTGCCCCCTTAAGAAATGGTGCAGAAACCAGTGGATGTCCAAGCGAAGCAGTTTTGCCAGTAATAAGACCGTCTCTGGTTTTGCTTCTGTCTGATAGAAAGAACAGCTATAGAAAACTTATAGAAGAGACACATCATTCTTTGGTTTTAAGCATTAAATGTTAAAACGGCTTGCCATAATGCCTGTTTGTGTACATCGAGTGGGCAAGGGACACCATTAAGGAGAAGAATAAAAGTCTGCCCCACCCTCACTAATTCTTACTTTTATCATCATAGATCATAGATTCATAAATTTGTGAAGCTGCATAAGATTTGAAAACTAGGGAAGACTTATGCCCAGCACATTCTGACAGTCACTGCTCACAGTTTTCTTTTGTGAAATGAATTAAGCTGACATACTGGTTCATGAGGGCTAATGGGTAGCCACAAGGTCAGGTTTGTGTAAATAATGAATGTACTTCATTTTTGGGGTTGAATAGTGAACTATACAGTCCCATATGTTCTGTTGTTGCATTTCTTTAAGTAAACTGCACTACTTAGTGTGTCGCTAGGCCTATTTTAGTAGGGCTTTGTTTCTTTAACTGTTTATATATAATAGTTAAATTACAATCATTTGTTAACGGGGACATAATTGTAGCTAAAATATTTGATTAAGGTTACCTGCTTCTGTGGCTAGAGATTGTTGGCTAACAGTAAACAGACAGGAAAATGCTCTGACAGAATGAATTCATGCAGATAAGCTTCATGAATCTCCTGGAAGTTAGAACAGAAAGAGTGAGTGTTCACTACTTCAGACTGTGGTGATAATCAAAGCTTTGTTAATTAATACATTTTTATGTGAGGCTGCCTGTAAGTTACGGTGTAATAGATCTTGCATGCTAGCTAACGGTAATGTTAACAATGTCTTATAAATTCAACACAAGTTATGAGATGATGATATCTAATTAACAGACAATATATCATGCACATATCTTTTTCTTTGTAAAATGATTTAAAACACGGAAGAAAAAGAAAAAGGAAGAATCTATAGTGACGTCTATGGTTCCTATAAATATCTTCCTGTAATGACATTACATTGGGGGTGTAGTGCAATGTCACAACATGAAGCATGTTAGATGGTGGTTACAAATGTCATTAAACTTTCAATGCGTTTTAAAAATCTACAAATTATTTTAACAGAAATGATACAATATTTACAAGCTTATTTGTTGATGTACTGTTGAATACTTACAAATGTCATTAAACTTCAATTCACATATTGGCTAATGCTCATTTTTACATTTACATATGTTGTGAAAATATAGCTTAATTACTCATTTTAAGCACTTCACAAACTGTTCGTGTTAATATGTTCATTAACTCATAATCACAGTCTGTAGTTGTTGTTCTGTAAACTTCTACTATTTGAACATCTTAAATCATTTATTAATCATTTGTTCATGTTTTTGCAGTACCCAATCTAAAGTTGAGATTATTCATCATTTGTAAATGTTTATAAACATTGACTAATTTTTTTGTATCTTTATTGGCACTGGACTTTTAGCTACTTTAACAACATTTGTGTAAAGGGTGGTTAGTTAAGTTTAGCTAAATGCTTGGTAAAGACATATCACACATTGTAATTTGGGTGCAAAACATTTTTAATCACCTCAACACTTATATTAGTATACTATTGTGTATCATTAAACAGAATATTCATTGAGTCATACATCATCAGAAGGGGAAAAAAATGTTTTTTCAAAAAAATACTTCATTTATAATTTATCAAAATGCAATATAAACAGATTGAATCGTGTTCCCTTATAGTAATCAAATTGACCCCTGTACACTTGTTGACCCCTTACCCAACCTTAAACCTACCCATACCACCAAACCTGTCCCTAACCTTAACCGTATCACACCTCAACAGCAGCAAAGGTGTTGTGCATTAACAAAAGCTTTTAATCATCTTACAACATCTGTAAAAATCATTTGTAGATTTTCAAGATGTGCATGATCATATGAATTAGAAGTTTAATGACATTTGCAAGCATTTTAATTTACATGAAATGTTAATGTTAGGTAATGTTTAATACATTTATTAGTAAACATTAACAAGCACATTATTTCACGTTTCTAGATATGTGAATATTTTATTTATTTTATTTGTATTTTATTTAGTCATTTATTAGACGCTTTTATCCAAAGCGACTTACAAATGAGGACAACAGAAGCAATCAATTATAGTATTAAAACAACTAAAAACAGATCCAAAACTAAAAGCTAAAACTTTATAAATACTACCTATACACATTTTTAAAATAAAGAGATTAAATAAAAGTGACAAATGCATACAAAATACTACTTATACACATTTTAAAAATAAATAAATTAAATAAAAATGACAAATGAATACAACAAAATTTCAAAACTTAACATTTAAATGAAAAACAAAAAAAATAAAGCTAAAAACAATTCAAAATATTAAAGAGTATAATAATGATTCTAACATAACACTAAGCCAAACACCAAAAAATCAACTACATATATGTGTATGTACAACCACACACACACACACACAACATATATACTGTATATATACATACACATTTATAAATTCAGTATATATATTATTTCATTTCCATTTAGTTTGTTGAAGTATTAAAATAACTCAAATTAAATAAAACTAAAAACTTAATAAAAGACCTATACAGACATAATAAATTCAGACATAATGTAACTAAAATTAAAATAAATAACAAATACAAATAATACAAATCAAATGACAGTAGTTTATCAGTAATCCTAAAAAATAACACTGCCAAACACACATGCTAAAAAACAACAACTTACTTACACATAGTAAGAAATGGTTATAAAAACTGAAACAGAAGCGAAACAAGTAATAGGAAAGAGGAGAAATAAAAAGCAATACTTATTATAATATATATAGAATATATATGAACTAATGATCCGTTAAGCATTACATAATGTTTGTTACTGATTTATTCATGAAAGTTATTATAAAGTGTTACCGAAATGTCAGTCTTGCCATTTCTTTCTCACACAAAATGTTTATTTTATATATAGGCTATAACTTGAAAACCAACCTGTTAATTCATTTCAGAGTCTATAAATAACAGAAAGTGAGAGCTGCGAGTTGTTTTTGGGTGAAAGTTTGCAGTAGCTTCTCAGCTGACTGTGAGTTCCTGTGAGTTTTCCGGTGAATCAAGTAACTCAGGCCCAGTCATTTATCGTACTAAATGTTTTGAGCATAATAAATGTATTTTGTTTTTGGCACAACGTGAAAATAATTTCGTAAAACCTGTATGCATGCATGTTTTTTAAGAGAAGTTTATTTAGTGAATGAAAATAATTTAAACATGTCGTTCAGATGAATCACTTTTACTGAAGCGACTGTAAATGTGGTCAGCCTGATTAGTTAAGTTATACATATTTACAGTGGATAAATAAAATAAGTAAACTTAATACATCAGATGACTATGTACAGCATCTGCAGTGAAAATGTAGCAACTCATCCTTATAGATCATTCTACAGCAGCAGGCAACAAATATAGTAATGCAGTAAGGTTGTTAAATGTCTGTGACAGATGTATTTTGTGTTGTATAGTGATGAAGTGTACTGTGATTGTGTTTTGGACTCTTTTGTGGCTATTGTAAAGTTCAATGTCATCCCCTCTACGAACCCCGATGGCAGGAAACCAGATCACTTGCTTTATTTTCATCAGCTCTGTTTTGGGACATGCTCACTCAGGTTGGTCGATCTTTGTCGTCATTATGAATAAGGATGTGTATGATTATAATGTGTACTAATAGGAATTAAAAACCAAATGCTCGTTTCTTCATGTCTCTAGTGTGACTAATGCGTTTTATGTTCCAGCTGATGATACCTACTTTGTGATGCCTCAGACAGTAACAGCTCTGACAGGCTCTTGTGTGCAGATTCCTTGCACATTCAACATCTCCAATTTTGAGGACAACCTCAAAATCAAAATTTATGGGATCTGGCTGAAAAACAAATCACAGTATGCTAGCAAAGACAGTTTTATAGCTTTTAATAGCAGTGAAAACATCATTAGAGGATTCAGTGACATAAAGATGACTGGAGATCTCAATGAGAGGAACTGTACCACTGTCTTCTATAACATCATGATGAATCATTCAGACCGCTATTACTTCAGACTGGAAATGGAGCCAAATGTGCTCAGAGCAACATTTAACCCCAATCCAGCTGATTCAAGCAACACTGTGAGGATCAATGTCACAGGTAAATGTCATCTCAACTGAACAGACCATCTACTGAAATGAAAATATTAGTATTATCGTCAGTTTTATACTATACATTTTGACATTTTGAAAATACTGTAACATTATAAAACTATATCTTCAGTGTTGAGAGGTTGCATTTCTTATGCATGTACAAAATATTTAAAATATTGGTAACAGTGATTTTACCTTGTGAAACAGTCAATCTACAAGTGCAAATGTGCTAAACCTCACCCCAAGTGTGAAACCCTGACCTTCTAACGTGCATTGTGTGTTTTCCTTAATGCTGTCTGTCATCAATTATCTTGTAGACTCACCACAACCTCTTGAACTTGAACATAGTAAGCTACAGTATGTGATGGAGGAAACTACAGTAAATCTAAGCTGCTCTGCTGAAGCCCCCTGCCCCGCACAACCTCCTAAAATATCCTGGTCTAACATCCCTGAATCTGCCCGCATTACAACACAGTTACAGGAGAAACCTGATAAAACCCAGTCAGTGTTTTCATACATGACCTTCAAAGCTTCATACAAAGATCACAAGAAGAACATTTCCTGCACTGCTACATATCCAAGAAATACATCTGATGACTCTTCTGCTGAGACCACCATGATGCTACGAGTCCTGTGTAAGAGACTTGACCATTTATTTCCTTTAGCAGAGCACTGTGCTCACTTAAATGCACAAAGTGCTACTTAAACATAGAATCTGATGTTTCGCTACCCAGAAATGTCTAAAGCACAGCTGTTTTGGTGTTTCTCCCATGTGCTTGTGTCAAAGTGCTTCCAACAGAAACTCACATCACCATCAATCCATCTACTTCAGTCTCTATTGGCACTAATGTGACTTTGACAGCACAGGATAAATATGGCAGTCAGTCAACAGCAGCGATCCAGCTCACAGCTGAAGGTGAGTTTACACAGTTTAAAAGTAAAGAACAAGATCCAAAACAATGAAGTTTATTTGAAATACATTCTGGTCTAGTTACAGTCATTTCACATGACATAGGACAAGATGGACCATCTACGGCCATGATTGCTGGTTGTGTGGGAGGAATTGTGGCAGTGCTCATGCTCTCTGCTATTGGATTTTGTACAAGGTAATTTGTACAAAATTAATTAATTATATTTACAGTTACTTAATCATCTCTGATGTAATTATGAAACAGATGATTTTAAGATACTCAGCATTGTGCTTGTGTTAGTCTAAGCATCAGCCAAAGTTAAGATATATGAAACGGTGCTTCTAGTGTTTGACTTCCTACAGTGACCAGATTAGCTTTTACAAAGCACTTCAGTCATGCACAGTCAAGTCAAGTTTTCAGTGTAATTTTTTGCTTCCTCTCACAGGACGAGGACAAATACACACAGGGGAGACAATTTTGGAGAAAAGGATTCCGTAAATCAGGTGTGTGCACTCGCCATTGGTTTTTAGGTTCAGTGGGTTGATGGGTGTTTATTTCACTGTTTAAAACTCTTTAATCTCATACATACTGTCTTAAACTAAGTTATTTAGTTATTTAAACTAAATAAGTAAGATGCTGGACACTTTTAAAAACTGAAATGTGTCATTTTGTCAACTAAAAAATAGTCCATCAGTTTTCATTTCTGCTTTACTTCATATATATATATATAGTGCAGCATGTTTCCTCAAACACCAGTCATTTCACACCCCTGACTGAACAACCGCAAAGTGTTTTTAAATAGATCACTATCATTGTGCAGTGGCTCTCTACATACACATTTATAAATTCAGTATATATATTATTTCATTTCCATTTAGTTTGTTGAAGTATTAAAATAACTCAAATTAAATAAAACTAAAAACTTAATAAAAGACCTATACAGACATAATAAATTCAGACATAATGTAACTAAAATTAAAATAAATAACAAATACAAATAATACAAATCAAATGACAGTAGTTTATCAGTAATCCTAAAAAATAACACTGCCAAACACACATGCTAAAAAACAACAACTTACTTACACATAGTAAGAAATGGTTATAAAAACTGAAACAGAAGCGAAACAAGTAATAGGAAAGAGGAGAAATAAAAAGCAATACTTATTATAATATATATAGAATATATATGAACTAATGATCCGTTAAGCATTACATAATGTTTGTTACTGATTTATTCATGAAAGTTATTATAAAGTGTTACCGAAATGTCAGTCTTGCCATTTCTTTCTCACACAAAATGTTTATTTTATATATAGGCTATAACTTGAAAACCAACCTGTTAATTCATTTCAGAGTCTATAAATAACAGAAAGTGAGAGCTGCGAGTTGTTTTTGGGTGAAAGTTTGCAGTAGCTTCTCAGCTGACTGTGAGTTCCTGTGAGTTTTCCGGTGAATCAAGTAACTCAGGCCCAGTCATTTATCGTACTAAATGTTTTGAGCATAATAAATGTATTTTGTTTTTGGCACAACGTGAAAATAATTTCGTAAAACCTGTATGCATGCATGTTTTTTAAGAGAAGTTTATTTAGTGAATGAAAATAATTTAAACATGTCGTTCAGATTAATCACTTTTACTGAAGCGACTGTAAATGTGGTCAGCCTGATTAGTTAAGTTATACATATTTACAGTGGATAAATAAAATAAGTAAACTTAATACATCAGATGACTATGTACAGCATCTGCAGTGAAAATGTAGCAACTCATCCTTATAGATCATTCTACAGCAGCAGGCAACAAATATAGTAATGCAGTAAGGTTGTTAAATGTCTGTGACAGATGTATTTTGTGTTGTATAGTGATGAAGTGTACTGTGATTGTGTTTTGGACTCTTTTGTGGCTATTGTAAAGTTCAATGTCATCCCCTCTACGAACCCCGATGGCAGGAAACCAGATCACTTGCTTTATTTTCATCAGCTCTGTTTTGGGACATGCTCACTCAGGTTGGTCGATCTTTGTCGTCATTATGAATAAGGATGTGTATGATTATAATGTGTACTAATAGGAATTAAAAACCAAATGCTCGTTTCTTCATGTCTCTAGTGTGACTAATGCGTTTTATGTTCCAGCTGATGATACCTACTTTGTGATGCCTCAGACAGTAACAGCTCTGACAGGCTCTTGTGTGCAGATTCCTTGCACATTCAACATCTCCAATTTTGAGGACAACCTCAAAATCAAAATTTATGGGATCTGGCTGAAAAACAAATCACAGTATGCTAGCAAAGACAGTTTTATAGCTTTTAATAGCAGTGAAAACATCATTAGAGGATTCAGTGACATAACGATGACTGGAGATCTCAATGAGAGGAACTGTACCACTGTCTTCTATAACATCATGATGAATCATTCAGACCGCTATTACTTCAGACTGGAAATGGAGCCAAATGTGCTCAGAGCAACATTTAACCCCAATCCAGCTGATTCAAGCAACACTGTGAGGATCAATGTCACAGGTAAATGTCATCTCAACTGAACAGACCATCTACTGAAATGAAAATATTAGTATTATCGTCAGTTTTATACTATACATTTTGACATTTTGAAAATACTGTAACATTATAAAACTATATCTTCAGTGTTGAGAGGTTGCATTTCTTATGCATGTACAAAATATTTAAAATATTGGTAACAGTGATTTTACCTTGTGAAACAGTCAATCTACAAGTGCAAATGTGCTAAACCTCACCCCAAGTGTGAAACCCTGACCTTCTAACGTGCATTGTGTGTTTTCCTTAATGCTGTCTGTCATCAATTATCTTGTAGACTCACCACAACCTCTTGAACTTGAACATAGTAAGCTACAGTATGTGATGGAGGAAACTACAGTAAATCTAAGCTGCTCTGCTGAAGCCCCCTGCCCCGCACAACCTCCTAAAATATCCTGGTCTAACATCCCTGAATCTGCCCGCATTACAACACAGTTACAGGAGAAACCTGATAAAACCCAGTCAGTGTTTTCATACATGACCTTCAAAGCTTCATACAAAGATCACAAGAAGAACATTTCCTGCACTGCTACATATCCAAGAAATACGCCTAATGACTCAACTGTGGAAGGTACCTTCATGCTACAAGTCCTGTGTAAGATATTTGGAGTACTTTTGTGTTGCTCATCATCCTTGATGTGATAAAATTAATAGGTATCAAAACTATCTATTGTTAACCCCGTATGTGCATGTGTTTTTCTTAAAGTTCCTCCAAAAGAAACTCACATCATCATTACTCCATCTGTTGGCACTAATGTGACTTTGACCTGCAAAAGCAAAGCCAGTCCATCAAATGACTTGAACTACACCTGGTACAAACGTGGACCGGAGACGCCTATAGCTTGGGGAAAGAAGATTAATTTAACCAGAACTCATAATCAAACAGCATCATACTTCTGCATTGCACAAAATAAACATGGAAAACAGTCATCAGAAGATGTCCAGCTCACAGATGAAAGTAAATAAAGCACAGTTTTTTGTATTTTTATGTTCAGATATATTATGGATTCATGACTACTGTTTGAAATATGCTCTTCAGTAATCCTTTTGTATTTTAGGACAGAGTGGATTCTCTCATCTGGTGATATATGGCTGTACAGGAGGACTTTTGGCTTTTGTTCTGTTGTCTGCTGGGTTTTTTTACTGTATGAGGTAAATATATAATAACAGAAATGTAGTTCATGTGTGCAATGTTGTATTTATTAATTGCACGTGTGTATAATTTATGAATGTATTTATGTTTTATATTTACTTTTTTAATTTAAATTTTTTTTATTTTTTGCAACAGAACAAAGGCTTCAAGACAGGCCCATGTCACAGGAAAAGATCAGGTACATAGTTCAATAAACAAGATGTTAACATTGAGTAACTTAAATTTTAAATGCCAGCTGTTTTGTCCACAACTACAAAATTTGTTCCAAACAGAGCACAGCAGAATTAACCGTTGCATGGCTGTGTCTCAAACCGTAGCTGTTTAATTTCCGGAATGAATCAGTGCTTTTGAACAAATCAGTTGAGTGAATGATTCAGTGACTTAATCATTAAAAAAATACAAAATAAATGGTTCCTGAATGCATCTGTGTATATGAACAAATCGGCTGAATAAAGACAGTAAGAGTCACACTGAACGTTGTTGTAAATTGTAAAAAAGTGAATTGTTTTATGCTAATTTTATAAAGACTAATTCACTTCACTTACAGTAGGATCTCCTAAAACAATGCTTCTTTTACAGCAGAAGGAAAGCGATTAAAAAAATTTTCTCACCTCTTTTCCTCAGGCTGAGGATAAAAACAGAGACATGATGGCTATCTATGTTAACAATGATATTGTGATCAGCAAGAATGGTGAGAAGAAAGAAACTGATGATCTCCACTATGGTGAGATTGACTTCTCCAAACTCCAGATAGGCCACAAGACAAGGGAACACCCAAACAATGGCCCAGTGACAGAGTATGCTGAGGTTCAAGTGACAGAGAGAAAGAGACAAATCAACAGTGTTCAGCAAATGGACAAACTTTATGCTGAGGTCCAGAAAAAGTGACTTTTTCTATGTTAAATCTTGCTATTGTGCAGAGACCTGTGACACTTGTCAGCCAAGGACAGTCATCAAATTTTCACAAATCCCTTAATAACATCTCTGACGAATGGTGTAACACTGTCTAAATAATGAAATAATACTCTAGACTCCAGCAGCTACAAGGAATATCATTTGAATAATATTAAATGCTCTTATAGTGCTCTTAAATATATTGATAATCTATATGCTGGTTACTTGTATGGTATAAGATATAAATATTCATATAAATAAAATATTAAAGGGGTCCTATTATGTTTAAAAAAAAAATAATAATAATAAAATAAAATAAAATAAAAAAGAGGAAACGATGTCTGGTTGAGTTGTGTCAATAGTGTGTTGTCACCAAATCCAAGAGACGCTGTTTAACAGGTCTAATATACTAATATATTGTGCTCAAAGACATAACCAACTGTTTTTATGTGAATTTAAGGAATTTTATCACCTCATTTAAATCATATAGCTAGTTTTACACAATAACAGAAAACTGACACACAAATTAATTTCAATTGTATGTAGTCAAAGTTTTAATTTTTAACTAACTAGAGCTTCAAAACAAGCTAATAGTCAGTAATAAAAAACAACAAATAAACACATTACACGCAATAAACAAAGAGTGTCTTCGGGATAAAGAGCAGTGTTTTTTCTCTTAGCATTATTACTCTTGATTATGTATTTATGCCATCATAGACAGCAGCAGACTTAATAGGCTGCACTCATTCTAATGCACAGATATATTTTGAGTGTTTTGTGCCAACAGGCAATTCTGTTTATTGTCAAAGAGTGTTTTTCTAGCGGAAGGATGTCATTTTATGATTTTTGTTTCAATAAAGTACTAATACATATTTCTACCTTTAATATTTGTATTGTGTGTTAACGGTTTTATAAATGTATCTTGGGATGGTCTCAGGAGATAACTCAGGAAATCTCTTCACAGATTCAGACCTAATTTGTATTTGTATGTGTCAGATCTGTGCTGTAGGTCTCTTCCTCGCCACTAACAATTAATGAGTGACTATGTGAAATACCACAACACTCACATTTAAATTCAAATTCACTATTATTTGATTGTATCTCAGGACAGGGTGGACCCATGATTGTTGGCTGTGTGGCAGGAGTTGCTAACTGTGCTTCAGTTTTTTGCGTTTCTTTTAGTATGATGTAAATTTTGCCTTTCTTCAGTTGCATCATAGCTAACATCTGGGGGTTTTGCAGCCCATTAACTACAGAAAAAAACAAGCAGAAGTGGCTTTGTGGTGAGTGTGACAGATGTTGCCATAGTTAGTAAAGACCTATAGATATACATAGATATAGATATACAGTTGCAATCAAAATTATTCAACCCCTCAGAGACTGCAGTACTTTACAAATACAACCTTTTCTGAAGATCCAGGATTTTATAAAAAATTGCATCTATAACAGTTTACTGGCATATTAAAAGTGATAATGTCAATATATAATGTAATATTTTTGAGTTATAGGATTTTTTCAATAACACAGCTATGTCATAATTATTCAACCCCTATTCAACATTGCTGTATGTCACTTTTTTTTGTATGGTGGGGAACAAAATTGTCTTAAAACACAATTAAGCCTTTAGAAACTCGATTAAAAAACAGAATTAGCTTGAGCCGTTACACATACATAAACTTAGCCCACGCATGTGCTGACGTGAGTAGCAAATATGCAAATTCAACAGAGCTCTCTCAAAAGCTATAGAAGAAATAGTTTTATTACATTAAAAAGTCTAAGGCCACATGAAGATTTGCTGGTGTTGAAGAAAAAGCACAATATCATAATACATTTGATCAGAGCAACTGAGAAAAACCTGCAATGCACAGCCAAAGACTTGCAAGATGACCTGATGAAAAGAGGAAAAACATTTCAATGCAGAGTAAAAGAAGAACACTAGACAAGTACGGCCTTCATGTTGGGGCATCTTGCCGGATGCCACTCTTGACCAAGAAGAACATAAAAGGCCGACTTGAACATGCTAAAATTAATTTGGGTAGACCTGTGGAGTTCTGGGAGAAAGTTTTATGGAGTGATGTGACCAAACTGGAACGTATTGGTCCCATGGATCAGCGGTATGTCTAGTGCAAAAAAGGCTAATCTTATAAGCAGAAGAATACCATCTCTATGGTCAAACATGGAGATGGACCGGTCCTGTTACAGGGTGTTTCGCTGTTGCAGGAAGTGGAAATCTTGACTGTATGAAGGACATCATGGATTTTTTGAAGTATCAGGCCATTTTGGCAAGAATTGTGATGTCTTTGGTGCAAAGACGGAAGCTGATGATCAATGGACTTTCCTGCAGGACAGCCATCACAGAGTGCACATCCAAATGTGCTTATGCTTGGTTCAGGGATCAGTCATAGGATGTACTTGAGTGGCCTGTTCAGTCTCCAGATTTAACTCTCATTGAAAATATTTTTTTGAATTTGAAGAAAGCAGTGACAAAGTGAAAACTAAAGATTATCAGTGATCTAAAAGCTTTTTCCGAGGAATGAGTCAAGACTGCAGTAGACAGTCTCAGAAGCTTCTAAGCACTTTTAGACCGCGTTTTTTGGTGGTTTTAAAGAACAAAAGATTCTGCACAAAATTTGACATTTGGGGGTCGAATAATTTTGAACATGAATGTTTAGAGCCAATTTGATTTTTTTCATGATTCATCAATGTTACATTTTCAGAATCACTCAAATGTGCATTAGGAAACTTTCTCTAATAGTTCACTGATGCCTTTTTTTGAATTGTTTTCATAAAATGTTGCTCTCTGCAGCAAAATGTTTTGCAGGTCAAGGGGTTAAATAATTTTGATTGCAACTGTATATACACTGCTGTGCAAAAGTCTCAGGCCACTAGTATTTTCACCAACAACAAAAAAGAGGTTTTAAGCCAGCTATCTATCATTTGCTGTAGTGTGTCATTAGGAGATATCAGTTTACATTTCCAAACATTCCTTTTGCCATTAATTGTAATAATCCAGTGAGATTTTTGTATGCACAAGGAGAATGACAGCAGCCAGTGGTCCACACAGAGATCTGATCTCACCATCATCCAGTCTGTCTGGAATGACATGAAGAATCAGAAATAATAAGACAGACAAAATCCAGAAGAACTGTGACAACGTCTCCAAGACACTTCAAGAAACAAAACTACAGTAATGTGAAAAGTTTTAGTCACTTGTGCAAAAATTATGTAAAGTGAGGATGCTTTCAAAAATAATGTCATAAATAGATTTTATTTATCAATTCATTTTTATTAACTAGATAAAATCAACATTTGGTATGGCCACCCATTACATTTAAAACAGCTTTTGTCCTAGGAACACTTGCGCATAGTTTTTTAGGTAGATCTGCTGCAAGAGTGCAAGAGTGCAAGAGTGGGGTCCGCTATTGCTGAGGAATGGGAAACGAGAACCTAGATGACTTGGTACACATTTTTGAATGCTTAGAAGATTAGATTATAGAAAAATTGGAATGATTTACTGGAACGTTAGATTTGCATAGAGAGCCTAGCTCTGGGGTGGGTCTTCATATGGATTTCACTTGCTGATTTACTATGGTCTGAAATAAAGATCTCAAATTATTATTCATCATTTTTATATTCTTTTCCTTAAATCATTTATAACACAAAGCAATTGTGACATCAGCATAGAAATATTCATATAGTGGTTTAATAATATCATTAACCCTATAAATCCAACTGAGTCCTAATTGATACACAAATTTCTAAGGCCTCTAAATTAATAAACACACTTAATAAACAAACATTACTGAAAAATCTGTTACCGCATTCCTTCTATTGTATAATTGAGTTTCAAGTTTTGATCCAATCCGATTTCCAAAATTTGATCAGATTACTTTTGAACAACTGGGCCCTGATGTATCAAATATGTATACTCCACAAAAAAAACACATACGCAAACTTTAAAAATATATATACTAATCTAGCGTAGCGTTAGTTCAGGCAGGTCATGTCAGTCAAGCTCGCATCAGCTGATAGTCAGCTGTTCCTGACGTGTACCAATCCAGTTTTTTGACACTTATCATAGTGGTCCATTTAAATTCCCATTCTCCAGCATCTCTTCTATCACATAGCTGCTCACAAATCAACTCCCTCCTCCAACGCCAAATCCACCTAACTGAACCTGTAATCGAATCTGATTTTTTTCCCCCTCTCTTCTTCTATACAGTTCACTATTGCAAGCATTCTCTATCATGTATTTTGTATTTCTACAACTCATGTAAATTGTGAAGTGAGTTTTGCCCAGAACAGAACCATAGCGCCAACACTAACTGTATGCTATATAATTGTAATAAATATACTTTGACGAGGTGGACCTGACTGAAATGTATATATATGGAAATATTTTGTTCAGTTATATGGATTTGTGAAGTTCTAGTTAAAACAGTGATTTATCATCTCATTTAAATCAAATAGCTAGCTCTACAGACAAAAACAGAAATTTGTTCTCAACACAAAATAATTCCAGTTTTATGTAGTGAGTGTTTTAAGTTTTAACTAAATAGAGCTTCAAAACATGCAAGAAAATATTCCCTAATAAAGAAGAAAAAAGAAACACATTGCATGCAATAAACAGTGTCTTCAGTATCAAGAGCAGTGAGGGATTTTTCTCTTAGCTTTATTATTATTCTTTGTCAAGTCACCTTTATTTATATAGCGCTTTATACAATACAGATTGTGTCAAAGCAGCTTTACAGTGTCAAACAGGAAAATAGTTTGTCAATAACGCAAGAAGACAATGACAGTCATTTTTCCAGCTAAAGTCAGTTCATTGATGATTCAGTGTTGTCATCATCCAGTTCAGCTCTCTTCCAATAGCTTCTCTTCCTTTGATTATTATTGATGTCATCATAGACAGCAGAAGATCTAATATGCTACACTAATGCACAGATGTTTTTTGTCATCTGTCTATAATCAAACATAACTGACTGTTGTTTACATTAATTTCACATCATAAAAAGTTTGAGTATTGTTGTATGATTTTTTTGTTGTTAATATTTTGGACAATAAGTGAATACATTTCACACAGTTTATTTGTTTTATTTATTTGTTGATGTATTGCACCAGTTATTTATATATTTTATTGCACTGATTTTTTTTAAGGATTACATGTACTTTTTTTGGACTGTTTTGCACCTGGAACTTCAGGTTTTTTTCAGTGGCATGTTGGAGCTGCATTCTTTGTCCTTTGCTAGGCCCAATAATAATTATGTGTTGGGCCCAAAAAGAGCTCCCTTTTTTTATTTTTATTTTGCACCATAGATAAATTGGAAAGTAAATTAAAGGGGTATTGCAGTGAGCTCTGTGTACAGCTAGGGCAAAAAGACCAATACCCAGCCAGGTTACCGGGCTGCTCAAAGATGTTGTCAAAAAACCTTTCACAGTATTAGCAAGCCTTCTTCCCCGTGACTGCTCAGTGAGTTCAGTTTCTTCAACATAAATGTCACTGAAACCTCTTTCATCGTCCCTAGCTAGCACCTTAATAGTTGTGTCTTTGCCCCACATGATGTTCATTGGTTTCCCCATGAGCTCTGAAAATTTAAGAGCCTTTAGGGCCTTTTCTGCATCATGGCGGCATTCAAAAGTAACAAAACCATACCCGTGAGACAGGTTGGATCTTATATCTCTGCACACTTTCACAGTACAGATGGGGCCGAATGGGAAGAATATTGCATGCAACTCCTGTTCTGTCACATTTGGGTGCAGCTCATTCACAATCAGTGACACTGGTGGATTAGAGCTGCTCTCCTTTTTTAAGGTTTGCCGTTCCTGACGCAGACCTCTCTGCGCTTCAGGATTTCCCCAAAGTTTGAAACGGCATTCTATATAGCGGGCCTGTCACTGTGCCTTGCTAGGACATTAATAGTTATGTGTTGGGCCCATGTGATGCACATTGGTTTGCCCATGAGCTCCAAAAAACTGAGCCTCTAGGGCATTTTCTGCATGCTGGTGGTGTTCAAAGGTCACAAAACCATACCCACGAGACTGGTTTGTTATTGTGCTTCTGCACACTTGCACAGAACAGATTGGTCCGACTGGGCTGAATATTGCATGCAACAGTTGTTCGGTCACATCTGGGTGCAAATAACTGACCCCTGGTCATTTGGTTCTTGGCTACCCTCACCTGAAGACCAATTGTAGGACGTTGCCATTTTTTATTGTCCTTTTAACCGATATTTTTTTCTATAGGTCTATCATAATGCGTGCGGTAGAATAGCCTATTCTTAACAAAAAAGCTCTTTGTACAAAACACAGATGCTGTGTAGAACTCACAAATCACGACTGTATCCAAGAAGGGTTCAAGTCTTAGTCATATAAAGCTTATGATATGAACTGACTGACAGCTTTCCTCCTTTTTGTGTGTGTATGTGTGTGTGGGTTTTTCCCTCTTGTATAGGCCCCGAACGTTCTAAAGTCCCGATGACATCACAACACCTTCAAGTGACATCTAATGTTGCATCTACAGGGTTTAACTTTTTTTTTTTAAATCATCCCTCACAGTATTGGATAAGATGCATCTAATAAGACAGATAATTCGGGTACTTGATGTTTATTGATCAATAGCCGTGTTTTATTTACGATCTGTGTATTACTGCGCAACACCATTAGCATCAGTTGTAACATAAACATGCTTTTTAATTGGAATATTGTTATTCTTGTTGCATACGCATGTCAAAAAAATTTTCATGTTAAAAATTGTTCCACGTAATATGTATTTCAGCAAAATTACCTGTTTAATGAAGTTTGAGTGACCCCTGCTGGCATTGTTATGTCTGTCAAAGAACTTCTCAAGCGGAGTGGTACATTGGTGTGTGTGTGTGTGTGTGTGTGTGTGTTCTAAGGTTCAAGAAACTGTTCTAATAAAAAAATATATTTTTTTTTCAGATTATTATTTTATGTCAGGCTTTTTAGGGTTAACAAAACCAAATTCAGTGTGTTTTATATTTTTTAAATTCACATTGTGTTCATTTTGTAAAGTTTATATTCACACTGAATCTTATGTGATAATGTCCTGTTTAAAACAGAATGGATGCTGTAAACGTGAGATTTATGGCATATTGAATGAAGTAAAGAGATAATTGCGGTATCAGTATAATCTTTGTTTATGAATGAGTTTATTGCAACTGATGTTATGTAAAAAAAATCAAGTGACGCACGTGACAAAGTTTGATTTAGAGTTGTATTTATTCAGTCAGCTCATGTAAAAAAATGCAAACATTCAATGACTGAGACTTGTCTGTGTTCTTTGGTCCGGATCCTTCAACCTTAGCTCAGCCTGAATCATGTCAATCATATTCCACTGATAAAAGGCAAACTCTTTGGAAATAAAAATAAGCTTTCGTTAGGTAACCAGTACAAGTAAAAAATGATGGTACTGGTGCTGTCCTTGAAAACATGTCTGATAACTTTGCTCAAAATCAACATTTTTAGCTTTTACTGTAAGATAAAATAAGGCACCTAGGTACTGATACCACTGATGGCATCTAGTGAACTTTTTGGTTTTGCATTTCTCAGGTGCAGCGTCCACTGCAGTGCAACAGTCACATTAAAAGAGTTACATCCACCTCAAACCCGTCCTATTCTTCACATCTACTCAACATCAATGTAATGTAGCGTCTGTTCAGTCCCTCACTCTCTCCTCCAGCGCCCTCAGCTCTCCTTCCACTTGTGCAGGTAGATCAGCTCCAACCTGCTGGGTGAAGTAGGTCCGAAGCTCCTGTGTTTCCTTCTGCCAGAAGGGTTTGGGCAGGTCAAAGAGGGCACCCATATCGATATTCTCACCCAGGCCTTCTGTGTTTATGGCACCATTTTGTGGAATCCATCCCACAATGCTTTTGGTGGCGGCTTCCTCTTCACTGGTACGGCCGCATCGTGTGAAGATCCACTCGAGGACGCGGGCGTTCTCTCCAAACCCTGGCCACAGGAAAGAGCCGGTCTGCTGATCTTTCCGGAACCAGTTGACGTGGAAGATCTTGGGGAGTTGGGTCGGGCCCTTACGTGTCTCCATACTCAACCAGTGGGCCAGGTAGTCGCCGAAGTTGTAGCCGAAGAAAGGACGCATGGCGAAGGGGTCATGCATGATTACTTTACCTAAAGAAAATGAGCCATATATATTACAATTTTTTTTAAATATCAGTATAAGCTTTTTGTTTAGTTTGTCACTAAGTGCTTAAATGTAGTGTACACTTTTGTGTACTGTTTATCATATGGAGAAATAAAAGTTTGTACCTTTATGTTCAGCAGCAGCTGTGGATTCAGATCTCATGGCTGCACCCACAAACACACCGTGACGCCAGTTAAATGACTCATACACCAAAGGCACACCTGGCAAAAAAGACAGGTACATTTTGAGATACAATGTATAAAATATATGTGTATGTATATATACAGTACTGTTAGAAAGTTTGAGGTCTGTAAGTTTTTTTTAATGTTTTTATGTTCACCAAGGCTACATTTATTTGATTAAAAATGCAGTAATAACAGCAATATTGTGAAATATTATTACAATTTTAAAAGTAACTGGTTTCTGTTTTTAATTTATTAAAAATGGAATTTATTCCTGTGATGGCAAAGCACAGCATTTTTTTTTTTTGTAAATGTACAGATGTCTTAACTCTAACCTTTGATCAATTTAATGCATCCTTACTGTTTACACCAAGAATGATAACTATATGATAACTAGTAATAAATAATGATGAATAGCATCCACACCAACAAAATATAATGCTCTGCAGTTTGTTGTCTGCCAGTTTAAACGCTTGAGCTCTTTAAAGCAGGATGGATTCTGATCGGCTGTCAATGTTATCATTCATCAGCTTTAAATGTTTTTTTTATTTTTTTTTATAAAGGTTTTAAAACCATATATATATTTTTTTCATTATTGTTATAATTGTTGTCCTTGGTGTGAACCAGTGTTATTTTAGTATCAAGATACTATTCTAGTTTTTATTAATATTTTGAATAAGTTTTTATTTTTATATTTTCCATTTCGTATTTTCCATTTAGTTGTGTTTTTGTCATTTTTACTTAATGTGTATTTTATTTCAGGTAAAAAAAAAAGTTTTAGTTTTTTTTATGGTTTTAGTTAATTGTGAACGGGCCTTAAAAGTATTGAGTTCTTAAATAATATGTACATTTTATATAGGCAATTTTGATTCAGTGATACCACCCACCTTCTGGTCTTCTGCCACCAAATACAATGGCATCAATGAGGACGCCCTCATCACTTTCCCAGAGTGGGTCTATGATGGGGCACTGGCCAGCCGGGGCACAAAACCTGGAGTTCGGGTGGGCACACAGTGTAGAATCGCCTGAGAAACACAACACCATGCCACAGATGCTGTCCATATAGATCATTTTATTTAGTATAGAAATAAATTATATTTATATAATCATATTTGTTATTTATATATTTTTTTTTACGTTTTTTTTTCTATTTTTCTATTTATAAATGTTTCTAAGATTTTTTTTAATATTTTGTAAAAATGAGTTTGCTAAACAATGATCTTACCATACTTCCAGGATTTTCCATGCCAGTCTCTGAGTTTGATTCCAGGTGCAGGTGGTTCCAGACCCTCCCACCAAACACCCCCATCGCTGGTCTCTCCCACGTTAGTGAACACTGTGTTCCTGGAGATGGTTGCCATGGCATGAGGGTTTGTCTTCAGGGACGTCCCGGGGGCAACTCCAAAGAAACCATTCTCTGGATTAATAGCTCTGAGTTTACCTGGTGAAGAGAATCAAAATACACCATTGTGTCTGTTAAAAACATCTATTTATAACCATAAACAACAGTATTCCAATCAACACTATACGGCAAAACTGTTTCTCAGCAACTCTCAGGGTTTGTTTACTGAGAGCCATGTACTTAATATTTCAGTTTTAATTAGTTCTCTTTCTGCTGCCCAATATAAATGCTAAAATAAAAGATATGGTGTCATTTCCTGGCTGCCCATAAACCCACATTTCATGCTGTCAACAGATGCATGTGTTGTCTAGGACAAGTCATATTTCTCACCCTGACTGTCAAATTTCATCCAGGCGATGTCATCGCCCACACACTCAACCTTCCAGCCTGGCAGTGATGGTTTCATCATGGCCAGGTTCGTTTTCCCACAAGCGCTCGGGAATGCTGCTGCAATGTACCGTTTTACACCCTGAGGATTTGTGATTCCGAGAATCTGGTGGAGAAAGAAACAAGGACGTCTATCAACATCATGTTTTACAAATGACGACTCTAAAAGAGTAGTACATAAGCACGACGCATTGTCACTTGATCAATATGGCGCATATATATTATATAAGGTTGTAAACTCTCATTAAACTCAAATGTCTTAAAGGGGATAAGCAAGAAAATTCTGTCTGATGTCCCATACCAGCATGTGTTCAGCCAACCAGCCTTCGTCTTTGGCAATGCGTGAGGCGATACGAAGAGCAAAGCACTTCTTTCCAAGGAGCGAGTTTCCACCGTAACCGCTGCCGAAGGACAGGATCCGTCTGGTGTCAGGAAGATGTGAGATCAACACCTTGTCCGGGTTACAAGGCCAGCTGTTTACTAAAGGAGCTGTGCGAGAAGAACAGAGAAAGATAAGATATTGACAAGAAAATTAAAATATATATAGTATAGTTAAAAAGTTTGGGGCAGTATTTTTTTTTTTTCAAATCATACTTTTATTCAGCAAGGATACAATAAATTGATCAGAAGTGTGACAGTAAAGACATTTATAATGTTAAAAAATAGTTATATTTCTGTTCTTTTAAATCCTTTAATCCTTACGAAATGTATCATGGTTTCCACAAAAAATATTAAGCAGCACAACTGTTTTCAACATTGATAATAATAAGAAATGTTTCTTGAGCAGCAAATCAGCATATTGGAATGATTTCTGAAGGATCATGTGACACTGAAGACTGGAGTAATTATTCTGAAAATTCAGCTTTGCCATCACAGAAATAAATTACGTTTCAACATATATTCAATTTGAAAACAATTTATTTTAAATTGTAGTAATATTTCACAATGGAGCTATGTTTATTGTATTTTTAATCAAATAAATGCAGCCTTGGTGAGCATGAGACTTCTTTTGAAAACAAATAATCTTACTGACCCCAAACTTTTGAAAGGTAGTGTAATTAGCCAAATAATACTGTA